CAACCACCCCAATGGTGGGAGGGTCAGCTCTGAACTCCCTGGGGGAAGAAACACAAGGATCAGCCACCCCAGGGATGGCAGTGGTGGGAAGTATTAAAATATTTGTGCCTCAGAACAGAAGCTTGGCTTGTGTCCTGTGCCTTTCCCACCCCTCATGTTCCCCAGTCTTCACTTCCCCTTATTTTTGGGCGCTGCTGAATGGCTTAGATCTCCTGTTGGAATTTTCCTGGGAGCAAGCAGCCAATCACTTCCTGGTTCTTTCCTCCTGAATTCCAGTTACTGTGGGATCCACGACCCTGCCTGTGTGGTTTACTGCAACACCAGCAAGAAGTGGTTCTGTAACGGGCGTGGGAACACCTCGGGCAGGTAAGGGGGGAAAGGAGGGAAATCTTGGGACAATTCCAGGTTTAGAGGGTTGGTTTGGAAGTGTCGTGGTGGCTGCCACTTACTCGGGGGATAATCAAAGCCTGGTGACTTAAAAGTGAGGAATTTTTGACACATTTCCTATTCTTTCACACTAAACTACCACACAAAACATCCACAGACTGAGGAACCAGTGGTGTTGGGTGAAAAGAGCAACATCTGCCACGATAAATAGATTTTATTTGTGCTTTTTAGTAATGGAGCCAGTCAATTCAGTCGGGACTAAACATGACTTTGCCATGAATTGGCTATAAGTGGATCTCCTCTCTGGTTTCAGCCACATTGTGAACCATCTGGTGAGAGCCAAGTGCAAAGAGGTGACTCTCCACAAGGATGGACCTCTGGGGGAGACTGTCCTGGAATGCTACAACTGTGGCTGTCGGAACGTGTTCCTGCTGGGCTTCATCCCAGCCAAGGCAGACTCTGTGGTTGTTCTGCTGTGCAGGTGAGAGGAGGCCTTTGCTGCCACCTTTGTGCTTTCTAAAGGGCAGCTCTTGGCCTTCATTTTGCACCAAAATACCTTTTATGCTCTTGTTTTGCCACCCCTTTTTCCTTGGGATGGTCGTAGGGACTTCAGGGTTGCAAGCAGGAAATGCAGGGAAGGAAAGTTCTGTCGTGCTGGGCAAATATGGGAGTTTTATAGAGGAATATTTCTCCCAAATGGGGAGAAGGGTGGGGTTTTTTACCCCTTTTTTACCTGAGATTTTCCAGCTTTGGAAGAGGAACAGACCAGTCCAGGAAGTTACTCTGGAGTAGTGACTCTTCCACAGGCTGTTTTTCCTCTCAGCTCATGGAATCATTGGAGACAGCAGTAAATAAGGAATTGTTCTCTGACAGGTCCAGTCAGGTTTTATAACTGTATTTTAATTCAGTGCTGTCACTTAACTTGTACTTGACAGTGGACAGTGTTTTTCTGTGGAATGAGTCCTACTTGTTTAAACAGCAGATGGGAAGTAATCCCATTTTCTGCTATAATGGACTGTAACCACTCCCAAGGGTGTCATATTTGACATTTTAGATGCAGACATTTTCAGCCCTAGAAACACCCAACCAGTGTTGAAACAACAAACACAAGAGCTAAAAAACTTAATTTTCACAGCAGACTGGGGTTGTTTTGCTTTTTTCCCCCCTTTTAACCGAGATCTTTGAGTTGTTCCAGGAGCCACACAGTTTTACTCCTTCCATGTGTGTAATTATTAATTTTTTTTCCTTGTTTTGGTCGTGCAGGCAGCCCTGTGCCAGCCAGAGCAGCCTGAAGGACATCAACTGGGACAGTTCCCAGTGGCAGCCCCTGATCCAGGATCGCTGCTTCCTCTCCTGGCTGGTGAAGATCCCGTCGGAGCAGGAGCAGCTCCGGGCCCGCCAGATCACGGCCCAGCAGATCAACAAGCTGGAGGAGCTCTGGAAGGTACCTGCTGCTCCTCAAACACTGCTCAGCTTTGCCCAAAGTGCCAATTCCGGGCTGCTGGGAAGGAGGGAAAAGATTTTTGGCCACTGTGTAAGGCAGGGAAATACTGAAATCACACCCCTGGACAGTGGGAATTGCCAGAGGGTTCAGGAGGTTGTTGTTCAGAGTGGGAAAGCTTCACCTTCAGGTTCTTCAGCCATCTGAAAAAGCAGCTTTCCCCATATCAAGCCTTCCCACGTGTTTCTGCTTTAGGTGTTGAGCAGCTGGGCTGTTAATTATTATTTTTTGAGGGGTTTCTCTGTACATCCCTTAGAGCAGGACAGGCCTGGCTGGGTTTAATGGAATGCCTTGGTGTAGCTTTTACACCTTGGTACAACTCCCCGTGGTACCAAGGCACAAGTCCTGGTGTCACTTCTTTATCCTTCAGGCTTTGAAACGAAACACCTGTGCTTTAAATTCCAGGAAAATCCATCTGCAACCCTGGAGGACTTGGAAAAGCCTGGTGTGGATGAAGAACCACAGCACGTCCTGCTTAGATACGAAGATGCTTATCAATACCAAAATATATTTGGTCCTCTAGTCAAGCTTGAGGCAGATTATGACAAGAAACTCAAGGAATCTCAGGTAATTTGCTTGGAATTTGCCAGTTTGAGGGGGCTCTGGTGTCAAACTCAGGGTCACTGTTAGAGCACAGAAGGAAGCTTTAAGTGGAATAAATATCTTAATTACTGGGCTGTAACAGCACTGTAATATCAGTGGGAGAGGAAAGAAAAATCCTCCAACTGAGGGGTTTTTTTTAAGAGCTTGGAACACTTGGGAACTTCCCCTTTTTTTTGTGTTGGAAGTTTTTCTTTCCAAGAACAATGTTCTGTCCTGGAGCTGCAACTTGAGCACCCACTGTGTGTTGTTCCCCTGGTGACCTGCAGGGCCTCAGTGGGACCTGCCAGTGAAACCCGAGTTCTGTGAGGTCATGGAAGCACTTCAGGAGTGTTGGGAAGGTGGAGGAGAGAATAACCCAGGTGCTGATTAGGGCTTTGTTTCTCACAACTCGCTTTTGTAGGACAGAATTAACCTCCTGCAGATGGTGGCAGCTCAGTCCACAGCAATAAATGCAGATTTCTGTGACACTGGAGCAACCAGGTTTTGGTGGTTTTGAAGCACAGTTGGCAAACAGCTCTTTAAGAACATAATAAACAGCTCTTTAAGAACATAATAAATGCCTTTTTTGTTTTTTTTTCTTTTACCCTTTAGACCCAAGATAACATCACAGTCAGATGGGACCTGGGCTTGAACAAGAAGAGAATTGCTTATTTCACTTTGCCAAAGACTGACTCAGGTAATCACAACTGGATTGTTTTGTGGGGGATATTTTTATACCTAGTGAAAAAAAAATCAATGTTTGAAGAACTTTAAGGATCTGACCTGGGACAGCAGGTGGTTCTTGAAGGGTTTTTGTGTGGGAGATGGTTGCTGAGAGCCTTTTTTTACCCTTCCTTTGTAGACATGAGGCTCATGCAAGGAGATGAGATCTGCCTGAGGTACAAAGGAGACCTGGCCCCGCTGTGGAAAGGAATTGGTCACGTTATCAAAGTTCCTGATAGTATCCTTTACTTAAATAAAGCTCAACCTGGAGCTGCAACCTCTCCAAGAAGCCATTAAATAAGTCCAGAAGTAATTCTGAGATAATTTCAATTTATCTTGGGGGGATCTTGCTGTCAAAAAAAAAAAAAAAAAAAAAAGACCGGAATTGGGGAAAATAAAATTCAAATTGTTGCTGTAGATTACTACTTAACGAGGTTCTACAGATTATGGTGATGAGATTGCCATCGAGCTGAGGAGCAGCGTGGGAGCCCCTGTGGAAGTTACTCACAACTTCCAAGTGGATTTTGTATGGAAATCTACTTCCTTTGACAGGTATTGGGAAAACACTTCAGAACCTGGCACGTGGTCAGTGCTGGTTCCATGTGTATTTTTCTTTTTTCTCTTTGCCTCCAATGGGTGGTTTTGATCCAAAAAAAAGTTGTGTTACTTTGACACCAGCAATCAGGAATCTCAGTGTGTGGAGTGTGGGAACACCTGCTTCATAGAGCAGCCAGATTTTTGGCTAGAAATGGAATTACCTGAATGTCTTAAAACGGTCAGTTTTTCCCATTTTGAAGGCACTCTCAAGGTTTGTTGCAAATACATCAAAGGGGGGAATTCACCTCCTGTTTAGTAACACTTGAAATGTGAGAAGAAAAACAGTTTTGTAGTTCAGCTTCCTCTGTAGGGAAGTGGTGCCTGGTTTTAGTTGGCATTCCTGAGCTTGGAGTTGCTTTAACTGGTTAAAATTTCAAGGCATTTGGGGCCAATGGGCTTCAGCCACATCTGTACTGCATTTTGTAAGTTGGCTTATTGTCCTGTTATTAGGATATTAGAATTTCTTTTTATTAGTATATCCTAGTAGTAGTAGTAGTAGCAATATATCCTATTCTTTATTATGAGTGCAATTTTTCTTCCAATCTTGCACCTAAAATCACTGCCTCAGGTTCTGCCAAAAACTCATGTCCCTCTACACGTTTTTCTGGGGTTTTTTTGTAATATTCACATGGAGAAAAACAAGCTCTGTGTTCTGAGAGTGTAACTTTTTTGTCCCTTATCTCCCTTAGTAAGTCTTTTTCCACTTCTCTGTTTTCCAAGAAGTGTAATTTCAATTTGTGCCCGCTCTCTGCCGAACCTTGGCATGGGATGGGGGACTTGAGGTCATGCTGATCTCCCTGACTTATTTTTCTACCCTTCCCTCGTTTCAGGATGCAGAGTGCTCTCAAAACCTTTGCTGTGGATGAGACCTCAGTGTCTGGGTACATCTATCACAAGCTGCTGGGCCACGAGGTGGAAGATGTGATTATTAAATGCCAGTTGCCAAAGCGCTTCACAGCACAGGGACTTCCTGATCTCAACCACTCTCAGGTAACCCCATGTCCCCTTTGCTACCTGAAGGATTTAGGAATGGAGGTTAAACAACTTCAGCATCCTATGCACTGAATGCTAAATTAGCAATAAACCCCGTTTTTATAGGTTTATGCTGTGAAAACTGTCCTGCAGCGTCCTCTGAGCCTTATTCAGGGTCCCCCTGGCACTGGGAAAACAGTGACATCAGCCACCATCGTGTATCATCTGGCCAGACAGGGCAACGGGTAAGAACTGCTCTCTCCAAGTCTCGATGCATGAGGTGACTTTCTTAATGGAAGGAATCACCTTGATTTTAAAAACCAAACTCATTCCTATCATTTACTGTCATTTTCTGGCTCGGTTCAGCAAATACCCTTCCCCAGCTTATTGTCAGAGGGGGGTGTCACTGCACATTGTTTTACTACGAGTCTAGAGGAGAAAAAATCTGCAGCTTCCTGAGCCTTGTTGGCTGCTGTTTCCCCAGGCCCGTGCTGGTGTGTGCTCCCAGTAACATCGCCGTGGACCAGCTCACCGAGAAGATCCACCAGACCGGGCTGAAGGTGGTTCGGCTGTGTGCCAAGAGCAGGGAGGCCATCGACTCCCCCGTGTCCTTCCTGGCACTGCACAACCAGATCAGGAACATGGACAGGTGAGGAACGAGCAGAGAACCCCCTGCTTTTGGTGCTGTGAGGGGCACAACCAGTGGATTTTGTCATAACTCAGTTATTCGGTTGACTTTGCTCTTCCGTACATGTCACAATTAGTTAAAAATTACTTTCTCTGTAATCCTACAAACAGTCAGGCCCTAAAGCAAAACTCCTGATTGATTTATTTTTTTTGCAGCATGCCAGAGCTTCAGAAACTGCAGCAGCTCAAAGATGAGACTGGAGAGCTCTCATCTGCCGACGAGAAGCGTTACCGGGCGCTCAAACGAACCGCGGAGCGGGAGCTGCTCATGGTGAGAGGATCCCTCTGCTCTGCTCCCCCCTGACCTGAGCTGCTGCTGGAGCTCAGAGCACCTTGGGGGCATTCCTGGGGTGGTTTTGAACGCTGTCCCGTGTGGGAGTCGGGTGACTGGTGCTGTGTTTGTGTCCCAGAACGCGGATGTGATCTGCTGCACCTGCGTGGGGGCCGGGGATCCCAGGCTGGCCAAGATGCAGTTCCGCTCCATCCTCATCGATGAGAGCACCCAGGCCACCGAGCCCGAGTGCATGGTGCCCGTTGTGCTGGGAGCAAAGCAGGTGAGCCCCTTGGGTTCCAGCACACAGAAGGACTTTATAAATCCAGCAGGCAGCACCCAAGCAGTGACATTCCCCGTGTAGGCACGCAGGGATGCAGAATTCTTCCCTTTTCCTGAAAGGCACCTCCAGTGGTGCAAACCTGAACGACCCTGTGTTGTGTCAGTCCTGTCAGCTCTCGGTTTCCATGGCGTAATCTTTGCCTGGAACATTTTCTGCTCTTGGAACAATCTGGAGGCTGAATAAGCTTTTAGTTCCAAATGATCAGCTGCAAAGCGAGTTGACACTAAAGGTTCCTAAGCCTTAGGTGAGACCTGAAGCTTATCACAAGCCACACTGGTAAATTCCTAATACATCAGGCAATGGTTTAAGCTGACAGAGGGTGGGTTTAGATTGGATATTCAGGAGAAGTTATTCCCTGGGAGGGTGGGGAGGCTCTGGCACAGGTTGCCCAGAGCAGCTGTGGCTGCCCCATCCCTGGAAGTGTCCAAGGCCAGGTTGGAGCAACCTGGGAGAGTGGAAGGTGTCCCTGCCCATGTCAGGGAGTGGAACTGGATGATCTTCCAACCCAAAGCACCCTGTGATTCTATATATTTTAGTAGGATATTACCACTGTTTTAAGCAAGTTTCAGAAAACAAACTTCCTCTACGCGCTCTTCTTCCCCACAGCTCATTCTGGTGGGTGACCACTGCCAGCTGGGGCCCGTGGTGATGTGCAAGAAAGCTGCCAAGGCTGGGCTGTCCCAGTCCCTGTTTGAGAGGCTGGTGGTGCTGGGGATCCGGCCCATCCGGCTGCAGGTGCAGTACCGGATGCATCCCGCCCTCAGCGCCTTCCCTTCCAACATCTTCTACGAGGGCTCGCTCCAGAACGGGGTCACTGCAGGTGAGCAGCCACACTGCTCCCCCAGAGGCACTGGGCAGGTCAAAGACAGGCTTCTTTAACCTGGGTTATTCCTTTGGAATGAAAAGAGTTGCCACTGCCCTTAGTTTGGAGTATTTATGGGAATATCCGAGTGTTCCTGTTAACTTTGTTCCGCCTGCTGTTCTCCTGCTCCTCAGCTGACCGTGTGAAGAAAGGCTTTGACTTCCAGTGGCCACAGCCTGACAAACCAATGTTCTTCTACGTCACCCAAGGACAGGAGGAGATTGCCAGCTCGGGCACCTCTTACTTAAACAGGTAAATAAAACTCAGACAGGTAAAATAAAACTCCCCTCTGACATCCACACTCGTGTGCTGGGACACCAGGACTCAGGGCTGTTCATTCCCATGCTCTGCAGCAGCTCTGAGTTAATAAAACCTCAGGGGTAATTAATGACCAGTTGAAATGGCCCCTGGGCCTCTTGAACAAAAGCTGCCATGGAGGATGGTGCAGCCTGAGCTGCAGGTTGGGGTTGGTTTGCCCTGGATAAACCAGGAGAAAAAGGCACCAAGTGGGAGCAGTTCAGAGCTTAAGTGGGTTTGAATTGCTCTGTGGAGGAGTTTGTCTTCCTTCACTGGTTGTGTAAGGTTGTATAAGGGATGATAAAGTGCCTGATCTGTGGGATGAATAAACTGACTGCAGTTACAGCAGGAAATGCTGATCCAGTTGCATTTTGAAGCCAGAATTCCAGCTGCTCCTGAGGCAGAACCCTAAATCTTGGATTTTAGTGGTGGTGCAGAAGGGATGGGAATTTAATTTTCTTTTTTCCTACCCCTTTTTTCTGCACAGTCCAACTTCTTTGTCAAAGAAGGAGCTTAAACCACTTTTTTCCTCTTGGTTGTATGTGTTTTGTTCATGTGCCTGGAAGGGAAACCAGACCAAGCTCTGAAAAATAACTGCTGAGATATTTTTAATCCCAGTCTGCTTCCTGAGCAGCATGTGCAAGACTGGAGACAGCAGAGCAGATTGTGCACAAACAAACAGCACAATAATTGGCTGATTGACATTAAAAACAGTTCTGCATTTGAAGCTTTAAGATAAAGCACCTGAAGGATCCGTTTGCACAATCTTGGTTATAAAAGCACACGTGGACATTTGGCTCTACCAAAAGTTCCATTTGCTGTTCCAGGAAGTGCAGTTGTGTAATTCTGAGAAGGTGGAGGTGCACCTAAGGAGAAATTTGTGTCATTCTGAGACCTCTGAGATGTTGGGTTTGGCCTGTGTCCCTCTGGGGTGAGATCTGTGCGTGGCCTGAGTCGAGAGCTGACAGTGGGGAATGTTCCTGAGCTGAGTTAGTCTGAGCAGTGCAAAATTGATCTTTTTATTGGAGTGGCCTCACAGCATCCATGTTCAAGGTCTTTAGACCCATTAAGCTGCAAAAAATGAGACCTAATGTGTCGATCCTCCTTGGATAATCCAACCTCTCTCCCCTCTAGGACGGAAGCTGCCAACGTGGAGAAAATCACCACGAAGCTGCTGAAGGCTGGTGCCAAACCAGACCAGATTGGCATCATCACTCCTTACGAAGGGCAGCGCTCCTACCTGGTGCAGTACATGCAGTTCAGTGGCTCCCTGCACACCAAGCTCTACCAGGTACAGATGGGAGCACAGAGAAGCCAGAAAAGCCTCACAAATATTTTAGTTTTCAGTCCGTGTTGGATTTTTGCACTTTTTAGTTGGTTGTGGTTGAAACAGAGCAGGGAGAGGAATTTGGGAGGTGGTTTCAGGGGAGCAGGGGAGCAGCTGAACAGGTAAAAGGAGGAAGCCCTGCTGAGCTCTGTGCTGAAAGGAAGGGTCCTGAGGCACAGAAGGGAGAGGCCACTGGGGCTCCAGCTGTGGAAAACTTTGTTTTGGATAAAGAGACACACAGGAAAAACAAGCTCCATAAATTCTGATGATCATTTATTTGCTTGGGAACATGTCCTCCCATCAGTGGGACTCCTCTACCAAACATCAGAATTAGTTGCTGCAAACAAGGCAATTATATGTTTAATCCAGTCTTGTTTTGCAATATTGGGAACTCGCTCAGTGTTTTCACTGAAGGGAAACTTGGTGGAGATACTTTTTCCTTGTGCCAGGAATGATCTGTCCCTGTGATTCAGGTTTCTGGGAGCTGGGAGCAGCAGTGCTAATTTGGACCTCTCTTCCTATGGGGTTTAGGAATACTCAGAATTCTCCCTGGCAGCATCCCAGCAAAGGGCTGATTCCCACAGCTTGGGGGAAATGGGAGGACCATAAAGCAGTGAACACGACAGTAATTCCTCCTAAACTGAGGCTCTCTGTTGTCCCCCAGGGAAAGTATTTCATGACCAGTGGAATTACCAACTCATTCCTCATTCCAAAAGTAACATTTTTGTCCAGTGATGGCAGGGTTAGTGCGTGGCCAGCACGTCTGGCAGTGCCTGTTGGTGGCAGAACTGTTTGGCTTCCGTGATTTACGTGTTTTCCTCCCCTTCAGGAAGTGGAAATTGCGAGTGTGGATGCCTTCCAGGGCAGGGAGAAGGACTTTATTATCCTTTCCTGTGTGAGGGCCAACGAACACCAGGGAATTGGGTTCCTCAATGACCCCAGGAGGCTCAACGTGGCCCTTACCAGGGCGAGGTAAAGAGGGATGGGGCATGTGGAGGGAACCTGGAGAAAGATGGAGAGAGACTTTGGACAGGGGCCTGGAGGGACAGGACAAGGTGGAATGGCTTCACTGACTGGTTAGGTGGAATACTGGGAAGAAATTCTTCCCTGCGAGGGTGGGGAGGCCCTGGCACGGGTTGGGCAGAGAAACTGTGGCTGCCCCATCCCTGGAAGTGTCCAAGGCCAGGTTGGAGCAACCTGAGTGGAAGGTGTCCCTACCCATGGCAGGGGGTGGGATTGGATGGGCCTTAAGGTCCTTTCCAACCCAAACCATTCTGTGCCATCTCTGCCTGTTCCTCTCAGCCCAGGCAGTGTTCCCATTTGGCATCAGTAGTTTTCAGGCTGTGTCCTTCCCCTCTGTTCTCAGGACAGATCCCTTCCCTGCTTCTTTATCCCTTCCAAAACCCATTTTTGGACCATTTTTGCTTCTAAGGGATTTGATTCCAAGACAGGTGATGTGGAATCCAGCACGATGTTGGTTGTCTCCCTTGTTTTCTGGGAGCTTTGGAACCCAGCAGGAGGTGGTGGTTGTTGGCACACACTGATGTGTTGGGCAAGCCTGAAGGAGGAAGTTTGTGACTGTTGAGAAAGTGACTGCAGCAACCTCCTTCCAGGTGTTTTGTCATGCTGTGGAAAACATCTGCTGTAAACAAACCAGTTGCACCTCCTGCTCTCTTGGCTGCTTCAGCTGAGAGATGGATTTGGAGGCTGCTCCACCATCAGTGTTTAATTTGATTTACGACATCGATTGATTTTTAACGAACTTAACTCGAGCTGCTCTGCTGCTGCACACAGGTATGGAGTAATTATTGTGGGGAACCCCAAAGCCCTGTCTAAGCAGCCACTCTGGAATCACCTCCTGAATTACTACAAGGAGCAGAAGGTGCTGGTGGAGGGACCACTGAACAACCTCCGGGAGAGCCTCATGCAGTTCAGCAAACCCCGCAAGCTCGTCAACACCATCAACCCCGTGAGTGAGCCCTGCTGCCCCTCAGGGCTGGCACAGGGGGCACTTGGGGGTCTGTTGATTAATTATCAGTTGCAAATGGGTGGAATGAATAGTCCCCAGCACAGCCTCACACCCCTGGAACTCTCCATGGCCTGGTTGGTGTGGTGGGACCCGAGGAAGCGGCTGCTTCAACCGTCCTTAGGTTGGAATTTTGGGGGTTTTTAAGCTACAGAGTTTCCTGAGGGGTGAGTTCTGAGGTGAATGAAGCATAAAGGAACTGCTCTGTGTAGAAATGGCAAGCTCATGAGGCAGGTGAACTTCACAGCATTGCATCAAACCCTCAACCTACAAGTTTTATACTTGATTGTTTAATATAAAATAATGAGTTGTTGGGGGGGGAGCTTATCAGCCATCACAGGACAGTGGTGTGAGTAGAATGAGGGGAAAAACTATCACCAGAACCTTCAAATAGGCTGAAAACCCATCAACTGTTTCACACTTGGAGAGAGGTTGCCTGTAAAATCTGAACTCCTCGTGGTCAAGCTGCAGCTGAAATAATAACCAGAGGTTTTCCGTGTCTTGGGACTAATTCATTTCCTCAACACTTGCAAACTGGACGTGATCTGTGGGGTTTTACTGGGTTTTTATTTCACTGAGGTCGCAGGGCAGAGTTTTCAGGGCAGAGGCTTTGTCTTAACTCCCCTAATCCTTGCAGGGTGCCCGTTTCATGACCACTGCCATGTATGATGCACGTGAGGCCATTATTCCAGGATCTGTCTATGACAGGAGCAGTCAAGGTAAAGGAAATTATCAAAATTAGCACCTTTATAGATTGATTTTTTTTGTTGTTTTTTTTCCTAACTCATCCTTGAGGTGTGTGGTATTTTACACACTTTAAACTTTTAAATGTTACAAGAGCCACTACAGAAAAATACGGAATTTTAGGACTGAAAAATGTTCACAGTCTGCCTGGTTTTTGCTCTCTGTATGTATAGAACCCCCACCAGTCTAACTGGATGTCTGAAAAACGAGGGGGAAAAGGGAGCATGTGAAGCATTTCAGGAATCTCAGATGGTTCTGTGAAAGAGTAACTGTGGGAATGAACACGTGTTAGATGAGCTTATGGAATTTTCAAGCGTGGAATAAACAGTGAACCAGAAATACTGGTGCTTCCTGGCCTGTCCTTACCATTTCTGGTTCATCCTGCTCTCGAGCCTGATAATGAAAAGCAGGGCTATGAATTGATTTTTGAATATTCAGGATGCCTGAGATCGTTTTTCCTCCTCCTCCCTCCTCTGCAGGGCGCCCATCCAACATGTACTTCCAAACCCATGACCAGATTGGGATGATCAGTGCTGGCCCCAGCCACGTCACTGCCATGAACATTCCCATCCCCTTCAACCTGGTGATGCCCCCGATGCCACCCCCGGGATACTTCAGCCAGGCCAACGGACCCGCCGCAGGTACCGGGGCTGGGAGGGGGCAAAACCCCCCCAATTCCAGGGCTGGGAGGGGGCAAAACCCCTCCAATTCCAGGGCTGGGAGGGATCAAGGAACTTGTTTGCATGAGCCAAACTCCTCACTGCTGGTTGGGATCCAACCCCTTCTTGCAGGACGTGGGGCTCCCAAAGGAAAGACCGGTCGTGGCGGGCGCCAGAAAAACCGTTTTGGGATTCCTGGGACGAGTCAGTCCAACCTTCCCAACAGCCAAGCGAGCCAAGATGTGGTGTCCCAGCCTTTCTCCCAGGGCCCCCTGACTCAGGGCTATATCTCCATGAGTCAGCCTTCACAGATGAGTCAGCCTGGGCTCTCCCAACCAGAATTATCACAGGTAAGCAGCACTGGGTGAGCGGTCTGGTCTGGTCTGACCTTTTCCTGGGATTTATGTTGGTGTCTGTGTGTGCAGGCACATCCTTGTTCTGGCACTGGGGGAAATGAAACTGAAACCATTTTGTGCTCCTGCACTGTGTGACTCTCAGAGCACACTGGGGGCAGAAAGGTGAAGTGCTGCATGTCCAGCCCTCAGCCTTAAAAAAAAAAAAGCAGGTTTCACTTCATTCCATCCTTCTCTTTGCAAGCAGGACATTAACTGCTTTTCAGAGCAGACAGGGGAGAGGAAAACCCTCATCTCAGAGTTGGTCTGGTTTCTAAGGGGTACTATATTTTAGCAGTAACTGTTTACATTTTAGAAGCAGAGTATCTGAGAGAGAGAGAGAGAGGGAGGGAGAGTCCCTGACTCGGAGCCTTAACTTTGAGCCACCAAAACCCCCTTTTTGACGCAAATTCCGCACCAAACCAGATTTTAATAACCCAAGCAAACCCTCAGACTTTAACCTGGGCCCCCAGGTGTTCTAAAAGCTTCGTGAGGGAGCACCTGGGGGTGATGAGGAGCTTTACACAGCCTTTCCCTTCCAGGACAGTTACCTTGGTGATGAGTTTAAATCCCAGATTGACGTGGCGCTGTCACAGGACTCAACTTACCAGGGTGAACGTGCATATCAACATGGTGGAGTGACGGGACTGTCACAGTATTAGAGTGTAAGAACCTCAGGGGGTCCCTCCTCTGCTTCCTCCCCCTCCTCCAAGCTCCTGAAAGGTTTGTGTGAGCAGTGCTGCCCCCTAACACAGCCCCCTTTTTTTTTTGTCTCCTCGCTTTCCAGGTTGAGGAAGAAGAGCTAAGCTTGCGTGGAGCTTAGTTCATCCGCATTTTATTCTGGGTAATAAAAAAAATAAAATAAAATGGATACCTGTTTTCCACTGCTAAAACTGAAGCACCACTGTGTGAGAGCAACAGGAGAAAGAAACCAACCAACGGAGAGAGAGAGAGAGAGAAAGAGAGAGAGAGAGAAAGAAAGGAGCGCGCGAGAGAGCCCACTGCTATAGCTCACTGAGACAAGGAGACCGCGGAGGAGAGAGAGCCCTGACGGACCTGCTGGCGCCTCGCTGGGAAGGAACTCACCCCAAAAATGAGTGGTCAGCTGAGTCCCTGCTCCCCCAGTCACCCCCACGCTCGAGAGAAGGGCCTTAAAAAAAAAAACAAAAAAAAAAAAAAAAAAAAAAAAACCCACAAAAAAAAAAGCAGGTTTCACTTCATTCCATCCTTCTCTTTGCGAGCAGGGCATTAACTACTACTTTTCAGAGCAGAAGGGGGAGAGGAAAACCCTCATCTCAGAGTTGGTCTCGTTTCTAAGGGGTACTATATTTTAGCAGTAACTGTTTACATTTTAGAAGCAGAGTATCTGAGAGAAAAAGAGAGAGAAAGAGAGAGAGAGGGAGGGAGGGAGAGTCCCTGACTGGGTGGCAGCAAAGCCAAGCAGAAATCCAGCGGGATCCAGCTGATGCTCAACTCTGAGATGCAGGTTTTGTTGTCCAACACTGGCTCTGAAATCTTAGTTGTCATCGTGTCGCCCACATTCTGAACGGGTCTTTCGTGACGAGGTGGTTTTAAAAGAGATCCTTTCAACAAAAGGAGCACTGAGTTGTTTTTTTTTTGTTTGTTTGTTTGTTTTGTTTTTTTTTTTTTCTTTAAAAAAAAAAAAAAAAAGGAGTTTGTCTCCGAATTCTTAGTGGTGGACCTGGGAGATCCTTGTTCTGAGAAGCTTATATATATATAAAAAAAACAACAAAAAAACAACAAAAACGAAACAAAACAAAAAAAAAATATGTTTCAAACAAAAATTAGAGCACCAAACCTTGAGAACTTTTTTCAGTGTGATTTAAAGTTGCAGCAATCAGCCTCTTCTTCCTACATTGGATAGCAGTTAGAGTGAGAGGAGCCTGCGCGCTCGGGCAGGAGGAGGGTTTCAAAGTGTTTTCTGTCTGCTTTAATTGGCTACTGTCTGGACTCTACTCTGTGAAAAACAAAGCCTTTCTGTCAGATGAACTTCGTGCTTGATAAGGGGATTGGGGTTCCTGTGCCCTTCGGCCCCTGGAGCTAAAAACAGCCCCTGCTTTGACTGCCACAGATCTGGGGGGGAGAAGGAGCAGAATCCGGGGATTATATTGGTGCGGAAGGAAAGACCCCACGGCTCCAGGTGGGACTCATGGACAAAGCAGGCAGTTGGTGGAAGGTGGCCTCTGAGGAGCTGGGTTTAAGTAGAGATAATGGGTCAGGCTTTGGCGTGGCTTCTTCTTGGGTGAGGAAGGCAGGGAGGTGCCAGAGCCAGGTGTTGTTGGCAAAGCAAACCCGGAGCAGCTTTTTTTTCAGGTAGTGGCCACGGCCGTGCCATCCATGCTGGGTGATGAGTCAGGACTGAGAACAGCACATTAAAGAGAAGCCATCCAATTTCTAAGTTGTACCCATGTCTTAACGAGTCGGATGGGAACACTGGGAGCGTTTTTATTTCTGTCTAAACCTTTCTAGAAACAGCAGAGAAGTGACAATTCCTGCAGAGCCCCCTTTTTACCAGATCCCGAAATCAGACTGACCTCTACCTCCCAATTGGCCAAGAACAGTAGAGAGTGATGTGCTAACCTGGGTGTTTTTCAAGTTGGAGATAAGTTAGCTTTATACTCAAAAGGGCTCCAAGTGTTTCTAGTCTTTTTTTTGGGGGGGGGGAGAACTCAAAAATACCTCTCATATGAATGTACTTCGACGCCGTGAAAACCCCACTTTTTGTACCTGGGGGGGGGGGGGGGCAGCCCTTCCATTCCTGTCCTTTCCGTGGGTTGTTGCCCCTGCTTTCACAACCTGTTCTTGCTGTAGTTTCCCCAGGGTGTCTCCCCCCACCCAGTGCAGCCCCCCCAGTACCCCAGGACACGAGTTTTCACCCTTTGCCTTCGGTCCCGCCCCGACCGGAGTCCGAGAACTGCGAAAAACCAAACCCACAACCCCATTCTTTTCTCATCAAAAGCCTCCAGAGTTTAGACTTCTAAAAAAAACAAAAAAAACAAAAAAACAGTGAAAGAATGGAGACACAGGCCACCTTCCTTCCTCGTGGGATGGACTGTTTTATTTATTAACATTTGCCGAAGGGCTTTTTAATTTTTTTTTTGTTTTCCTTCCGTAGGCTGCGTAGTTGGCGTAGACTTTTCTGATAGGTTTGAGCTGGACCCCTCTGTGCAACGCTATCCATGAGTAATGTAGCCCCCTCCTCTCCCCTCACCCCTTTATTTCACTGCTGGGAATGCTTGGCCTCTGCTTTGTGCTGGTTTTTTCCTTTGTAGCAGTTAACTCTGAGTTTTACAAATCCAGACATCAGTGCTAGCACGGTGTTTAAAAAAAAAAAAACTCTCTTTTGATTTTTTTCTTCTTCTTTTTTTTTTTTGTTTTGGTCTCAGTTTGTTTTAAAACCTGTTTGTCATCAATAAAATATGAAAATAAACAGCTCTTGCATTCAAGGTGGCCCCTTAAGTTTCAATGAGGAAACCATGCAACGTTCATTAAAGCTTAGTCTGATTGTATAAACTTCAAGTTTATTACTTTTTTTAAACACAGACTAGTACAAAAGTGGTGGTGGGGGGGGGGGGCAAAGCAGGGGGGGGGGAGGGGGAGTTACCCACTTAACGGGGAAAACGGGGAAATCCCCCAACCCCTCTTCCCTGCGCCGGCCCCGGGGGGGGGGGGGGGGGTGCAGGGTGGGAGCCCCCAGGATTTGGGAAAGGCTGGACCTGGAGGGGCCCAGTCCAGCACTGCAGTAAACATGGACATGGCTTTTCCCTGTGGCACAGGGCTGGGGGCTCAGCAGAGCTGCTCCTGGGGGGGTTTAGGCCAGGTCTGGGCACCACCCCGGGCATAAACTCCTTGTAGCTGCTCCAGGGTGGCTCCAGTGGCTCCCTGGCTGCAGGAGGGGGACATTTGCCCTTCGTGGTGTTGGAGGAGCAGGTCAGGAGTCCCCTCCTGGCCCCAGCACAGGAACAAAATAATTAATACTTCGAGGTTGGTTTTTTTGTGTTTTTTTTTCACTCTTGATCTTAAATCTGGGATTTAACTCCCCAGAGTTAACCCCACTCTAAGCCCTTAGAACATCTTCAGTGGTTGAGGTGGGTTTGAGCAGGGCTGGGCTGGGCTTGCCCTGGAGCTCTGAGGAAAACACCTGGGTGGGAAAAGCTTAGTAAAAGCTACACCTAAAAGTACCCGAGCTGCTCCGGTCTTGGTCTTCAGCTACACATTTTAGGGGGTGTTGTTAAGCAAAAAAAACACCATCACAGGGGACCCCCACAGTGGTTAAACCCTCAGTGCTTGCCACGGGAGGGGGTGGGAAGGAGGTGGTAAAACTTCATCAGACCTCGAAGACGAAAACAGCAGAGAAAATAAACAGAGGCCACGGGGGCAGGTTCACAGTTCCAAAAAAAAAAAAAAAAAAGAGCAAAAAAATTCAAGTCTAACTCAGATTCCTGTTCTGTTCCCACCCCTTACCCTAAAATTAAAAAAAAAAAAAAAATGAACCCCAAAAGTGGTGTCAGGAAAGCCCCACCTGAAGGGCTGGGGGTGGCTTTGAACAGATACTCAGGAGCCAGGCCCAGGATTTAAACCTCGAGCTGCTGGAAAACTCGGAGCCCACGCGCTGGGAAGTGGAAGAAAAGTGATCAACGAGGGGGGGACGGGGCAGATTTGGGTCCCTGCTGCCCGGGGCTGCTCGTTAGAGGCGTTAAATACCAGTGCAGGGGCCCGGGGCCCACCCAGAAAGCAACAAATAAACCCAAAATAACCCTAAAACGCACAAGGGCCTGAGAGCTCTGCCCGTGCCTGGTGCTCGGCTGCCACCTGGGGGGGACACAGGGACAGAGGGACACCCGGGGACAGAGGGACACACGGGGACAGAGGGACACACGGGGACAGAGGCCACCCCGGGCTCATCCATTTGCAAATGAGGTAAATTAATACTGACACAGCGGGTTGGGAGGGGAGAAGATGCCACCGACCCCTTGCCCATGCCCCCCCCCCGGGCCACAACATCCATCCTGCAGCTCCCGGAGGGTTTTTTTGGGGCAAAATCTCCGTTGCACTTGGCCACCCACCACCTCTGGCCCCCCAAGCCACCCTGTCACCATAAAACCAGCTCAGGGCTGAGCTCCCCCAGCCAGGGAGAAAAACTCGTGTGTCCCACCCCGGGCTCTGCCTCCCCCCCGGGGGTGGGATTTGGTCACCCAGAGCTCGTGCCCTCCCACCATCCCCCTGTCCTGCAGCAGCACCAGTCACCTCCTCCCCTCACGGCCACGCCCGGGGACCCCCCCAGCCCCATTTCACCTCCCAAAGCCGTTTATGCCCCGAGAAAGGTGCCGAGCCAAGGAACCCAAAGCACCAACAGCTCAGGGGGGGTCTGGGACTCACAGCCTGGTGCTGCCACCCCCTGTGGAGCAGGGAATGGAAAACCAGCACCAGGTTTGATCATAATCCCAGCCCAACACCCAGGTAGTCCTAAACCACAAGTCCAGCCCTAAATCACAAGTCCAGCCCTAAACCACAAGTCCAGCCCTAAACCACAAGTCCAGCCCTAAACCACAAGTCCAGCCCTAAATCACAACTCCAGCCCTAAAAAACACAACTTCAACCCTAAATCACAACTTCAGCCCTAAACCACAACTCACTCCAGCCACCATCCCTTCGTGCCACCCCAGAGCTCTCCGACCCCCGACGCACCCACGGGAAACTCCCCGGACACCGGCACGGAGGGGATGGAACCACTCGGGGTTTGTTCCACCCAGCAGCCACCCCCTGCTCCCCCTCTACCTGCAGCCACACTCGTCCACCACCATGTCCTCGTAGTGCCGCAGCACCACGTTGTCGCTGTTGTCGTAGTAGAGGATGGAGATGGGGGAGAGCCTGACGGGGACGCAGCAGGGCTGGGGGGTGCCCTGGGGGTCCAGCGAGTGCACCATGGTCTGCAGGACGGCGTGGTTGGTGCTGTTGAGCTCGGCCGTCAGGGGGAAGGGGCACTCCCCCCGGCAGTAGTTGGCCAGGTAGCCCTGGGGGGCGATGATCCAGTTCTCCCAGCCCACGTCGCTGAAGCTGATGTGGAGCCGCCGCGCCCTGCACAGGTTGCTCGGGGTGAGCGGGGGGAGCCCGGCATTCCTCCTCCTCCTCCTCCTCCTCCGGGGGGCCTGGCACTGCTGGCTCAGGGTCACCACCAGCAGGGAGGTGTCCAGGAAGGAGTCGATGCCGGAGCAGAGGCCCCGCGGGGCCCCGCCCGCCCCGGTGATGCCCGCCGAGATCTCCAGGATCAATCCCAAGCTCCCGCCGCGAGTCCTCCGCTCCCTCGCCGCCGCCGCGCTCAGGTTGAAGAGGAGGGACTTGTGCAGCTGAGCAAAGGACTGTTCCACCAGCGGGCTCCGCCTGGGCTCGGGGACCCCCGGGGGGGACACCTCGGGGGTCTGGAAGAGCCTCAGCTCAAAGACCTGCCCCTGGCGGGAGGGGTGGTAGGAATTGTGGTGGAATTTGATCTCCAGCTGGGCCATGGTCAAGCGCTCGCCCTCCTCCAGCACGGAGAGGTTGAAGAACAGGCGCTTCCGCAGGCACAGCCACCCCTGGGGCTGCTCCTCGGGCATGAAGGGGCCTGACAGAGAAGGAGAAATAGAGGTGGGGGTGGTTGGACCCTCGGGCTGGGTAGGATTGGCCTCCCGGGGCTCCAGTTTGAGCACAGCAAGAGGTTGGATGGAGCACTGGCAGGGTTGGATGGAGCTGATGAGGCTGCAGGGAGGGCGATCAGCCCCCTGGCAGGGCCTTCAGGAAGGGCTGGAGGTACAAACTGGGCTCCAGCCTGTGGCACTGGGATGCTGCAGCCATTCCAGCATCTCCTCTGGGTGCTACTTCACATCTCAAGGGGTTATTTTTCCCCAGCTACAACCACCTCCCCCAGGACAGGGAGGGGGTTGGGATGGAGGGGAAAGGAGGGCAAAACAGCAGCAAATCCAGGGAGCTGCCTGGTTTATCCAGCCCTTGGTTTCCATGGGAAAACCAGAACCACAAGAGAAAGGAGCTCTGTGGTGCCTCAAGACCTCAAAAGGACCGAACAGTTCCCAGTGAACTGAGAAGGGCTCTGAGGGGCTGAGCAGCCAGAGGTGCTGTGGGGTCAGCCAGAGGTGCTGTGGGGTCAGCCAGAAGTGCTGTGGGGTCAGCCAAAGGTGTGGGATCAATGAGGAGAAGGGGGGACACAGCCAAAAGGTCGAGCATCCCATCCCTGCCTGACCCTGCACCCCCAGACCCGGCCACGGAGCCACATCCCCCTGCCCAGGTGAGGAGTCACCTCCACCACCGTGAGCCCAACAGGCCAATCCAGTCACCTGGGATCCAACCAGCACCTCTGGGTGGCTTTAGGGGGCTCCAGGACAGCCCCACACCCTCACCCCTAAACTGAGAATAATCCATCTGCAACATCCCCAGGGACCCGAGTTCACACAGCAGGGATTTCTCCTGGAAACCAGCTCTGGGCACTGCCCTGTCCTCCCTCAGCCTCAGGGAAAGGAAGGAATGAGGCAAAGCCTCTCATCCCAGAGAATGAGGGGCCTCCAAAAGCTCCAAAAACGTGTCTGTACCTTGGTCAGTGAGGACTCGGATGATGTTCCCGGGGACATTAAATTCCTCCACCCTACAGGCATCCAGGGGGTCTTTGTCCGTCGAGGGAGGCGTCTTTCTCTTCTGGAAGATCCTCCAGAGCACGGGAGGCACCGGGACGGGGGTTTTCGGGCTGGGCTTGGTGCTCAGGCCCAAGGATTTCAACAACAAACTCTCCTGCACGTTCAGCTCCGAGCCCAGGACGGGGCTCAGGAGAGCCCAGGCCAGGCTGGGGAGAAGCCACATTGCCCCTGCCCTGCTCTCCTTCTCCAGACAAAGGGCAGCCCGGGCTGGGGACCCGGAGCTGAGGCCAGGGGGGTGTTGATTCCCTGATTGGAGCCTTTGATCTGCTTAGTGCTCAATTAGCACAGAGGGATTCCCGGGATTGGGCAGAGGGTGTGAGTCCCTCCAGGCTCCCCCCGGGGGACCTGTTAACCCCTTGGTGCTGCTCCCACAGCCTCTCCCACATCTCCACACCCTCGAGGGCCAACAACAGCATCCGTGGTGGCAGGGAAGGGGCTGCTCTTCCCACACCAAACCATCCGTGGTGGCAGGGAAGGGGCTGCTCTTCCCACACCAAACCATCCCTGGT